ACAAGATGCATTTCCAGAATTGTGACTCTAGATGAAGTATTGACTCATAACTTTGTTTCCAAGAAATAGCACAACATGCAACAGAAGTGCATACAGTCTCCACCTCCCAAAAAATTTTAAAAAGATGGCATCAGATGATAAGCTTATGGCCACCATATTTTTACAACAGCAAAGTAGCAATTATGATTGACTACCTGTCAACAGGCAAGACCACCAACAGGAGAACATGCTAGTGAACCGTCTTGTGACAATCCATCAGAACAAGAGCTGTCAAGATTTTGAGTGGAGGAGCACTGCTTCTCCAGGACAGTGCACTGTTCCACACATCCCAGGCTGCAATGACCAAACGAGGCTTTGTACTGCTTCTACCCGGCCCGGTCACCAGATTTGGTTTGAATCCTTTAGAGCTGTCTCTGTTCCCCAAGTTGAAGGAAGACCTTTGTTGAAGAGTTTCAGTACTGATAACAACAAGGTGTGATCACAGAAGACCAGAAGTTTCTGGACATGTAGGACAATGGCTTCTACAACCATGTTGCAGCTGCACTAGATCAAATGCACCGATGTCAAGGGGAAGTATGGTGGAAAGCAAAAGAGCACAAATGGTGCTCCCTTGTTAGGCGAGAAGCCTTCTGAACACCCCTCGGACGTGTTGTCCCTTTAGCTTACCATCTTTACCCACAGTTCAAACAGCTATATTTTACTCTCCATTTGAGCTACGGTGGGGAAGACCCTGCAACGCAAAGTGTGCGCCTTCTGTCTCCACATGCACAGCGCCCCTACCCATAGTCCTAGGAACCAGAGTCCAGGTTCTAAGACAAACTAGAGCAATTACGACATCTACAAAGCAATGAGGAGTATGCTCATCAGTGATCACTCCTCCAGCACAATGCAATCCATCTCTGGATCTTGTGAATTAGCCAGAGCTTCATATCGATGGCCATACAAAACCCTTTGGCAGCAGACAATGTTTGGAATTGCAAGTAATTGATTAAAGGGCTCAATTCCACTCCCAGGCACAGATCTGCTTGCCACGTATCAGAACAAAAGAGACCAGATGTTCTGTACCAAGGAGGTTTCAGACTAGAATTGGACTTGTCTCTCTCATTCCCTGGACATCAGGACTCTCATCTGAGAACTTTCAGATACAATGGACTCCCGATGCTAATGACACCCCCAAAACAGTCAAAGCAGATTTTGTGCTTGAATCCAATGACTCCCTCAACTTGGCCCTTGATCACAGCTCTAACTCAAGCCAATGTGATCACGCAAAGTGCAAGTCAAATCCTGACCCCGAACTTTGTTACATCTCACAGCCTGAACGTGGCTGTCTAGTAGTCATATTAACATACATTCTGGGTTCTAATCAGAAGGACAGCATGAGGTTGATTTATTCAGAAAGTGAAAGAGATTCTCCTTCTGACCAATGCAGAAGCATCCACTGTCATTAGAGACTTCCAAAGAAGTTACCTTAAGTTGCGTGGTAGCCCCAAAGCACTCAGGATTCTCCATTAATGTAAAAAGCATTTATTCGGCAGCAAATTCTGCTTGCTGGCATCCTCCCAAATGGTCACAAAAGTCTTTGCACAGTCCATGCTGGCTAGGTTCCTCAAATATCTCACTTTTGGCTTTTTCATCAGAAATACCCCATGTTCCTGGGACATCAGCACAGCATTGACAGTGCTACTAGGGCCTTCCTTTGAACTGTTTATTGTCCACCCTATCTGCAAAGAGAGTCTTCTTGGTGGCTAGAGCCTTAGCCAGAGGAACACCACAGATCCAGTCCCTCGTGGCACAACCACCACATATACCATTCCAGGACAAGATGACATTAATAACTGGATGAGGCCTCACCTAACATAGTTGCAGAATTTAACCAAAATCAAGCGCACCCTCTGCTAATTTTCTTCTTCAGCCCAGTCAAAGGGAAACTAGCTCCTACATTTAAGTGACAGTAAGGATTCTCTCCCATCATTTTGAGAAGGAGACCATTCAGGAGTTTGCTGTTGTTGTTGTCTTTGCTGACAAAATGAGAGGTCAGCTTGCCATCTTTCTGAATGAGTTTTGGTGTGTGCTGGAAGGTGCTACGAAGTAGTAGTTTTTGACGTGCACAGACCACTGCACAACTCTGATACAAGGCACTGCAGCTCTCCCTGGAATTCAGTTCAAACTTTTACCTAGGATTCCTAGATATTTTTTCGGTGACAGGCCAAGCTCCAGTACCCACTTGGACAAAGCTGTGCTAAAGTCACTGGATTTACTAGTTCGCAGCTTGCACAGCACCAGAAATGGAAAGCATTAGGGCAGTGAGAACCAACCTTTTTTGTCAAATGTGCCATCAATTAGTCCCACACCCTCCCCAAACGTCACCCTGATCCCTTTCCCTTACCTGATCTGCTGCTCAGCTTTCTGCTTCCTGCCTTATCTGTCACTGTGCTGCCTGCTCCCTTCCAATCCGCTGTGTGCCACACAGACTGCCCATGCCACAGGCTGACCACCCCTGTATTAGGGTAACAGCTTAAAGAAGAGAGTAGTTATTTATCCCTACGATACCTGTGATTCTTTTGAGGTACTGTCCATGTGCATTGTACAGCTGAATTTTTCCCCAGCTGCTACAAAGTCCTTCATCCCCTAGATTCTGTTTGAGCAAAAAACAGTGCAGCTACCTTACCTACCCTTGGCTACAAGGCACTGCTGGACACCCTGCACACTACAGGCATAGCACTTGGAAACCTGTACTCAAGACCATCTGATCACACACACAAGGGGGGCCCACACACCAAAGCAGAAAACACATGAGCAACCATGTTAGCCTAATATAATTAACTGGTCTTTTGGGGCTTCAGGTTGAATGCATTTTGCCAATTCAGCCTTGCTTTAAGAAAAAAAAACAAACAAAAAACCCTGGACCCGTTGTATTGTTCTAGATTTCTTGCATGAAAGAAGCATCCAAACAGCTTCAACCTTACTAGACAAGTTAGTTCTCACCTCACGTTTAAAATTTACTTCTAAATGTAAAAAAATATATTGAAGTGCCCAAATCCACACTCAATTTGATAATGTGCTTTTCAAAAGGCAACAGTAAACCAGACCTGACTGTCCACACAAGTCAATTTTACAACTGTTTTAATGCAATTATTTTAATTGCAAACATATCAGGAATAATCAGATATAGCTAAACAGAAGAATTTTTTAAGAACAGAATTCTAGGATTTTAAAAACACAAAAGCCTCCCTCCAATTCTCTTCACTTTACTTCTCTTCAGATGAACTTTTCATCTGAAAAATATGAACAGCTTTTTTCACATAAAAACAAGACCTAGATGAAACCTGCTTACCAATAAATATTGATACGTTAGCTCTAACTTCAGCTTCAGAGGCTGCTATATTTAGTAAACAGAATTAAAACTGGAGAAAAAACACTCTTTCAAAAACCACAACAATCAGACAGTGCTAAAAATGAGTCTTCCAAGCATCCTGTTCTCATCCCACGGAACTAAACAAATCATTCCCAAGCAACTGGACAAGGTCCGGTTGGCAGGGCTAACCGGACCTTGTCGTGCATCCACAGGTGCATCTCGAGTAGAGCCAAGGAGGTGATCCTCCCCCTCTACGCGACGCTGGTCAGGCCACAGCTGGAGTATTGTGTCCAGTTCTGTGCGCCCCATTTCAAGAGGGATGTGGACAACATGGAGAGGGTCCAGAGGAGGGCCACCCGCATGATCCGGGGACAACAGGGCAGACCCTACAGTGAGAGACTGCGGGACCTGAACCTATTCAGCCTCCACAAGAGAAGGCTGAGGGGGGACCTGGTGACCGTCTATAAACTCACTAGGGGGGACCAGAAGGGTTTGGGGGAGACGCTGTTTCCCCTAGCGCCCGCTGGCATAACAAGGAGTAATGGGCACAAGTTGATGGAGAGGAGGTATAGATTGGACATCCGCAAAAACTACTTCACAGTTAGGGCGGCTAGGAGCTGGAACCAACTTCCAAGGGAAGTGGTGCTGGCCCCTACCCTGGGGGTCTTTAAGAAGAGGCTGGATGCCTACCTGGCTGGACTCATTTGAGTCCCGTTTCTCTTTTTGGGGTTTTTTGTTGTTCTCCCGCCCTGGCGGGGGGTCGGGCTAGAAGATCTACTAGGTCCCTTCCGACCCTAAATCTATGAAACTATGAAACTGAATCTAGGGCTTGGAAAATACTTTTCGTATAGTTAGACCAGTTGGTGACAATCCTCACTGCCACCAGAAGAAACCCAACTTTTTGAAGACTCAAGGCATAAATAAAAAAAAACAATAGTACAGCACGGAGTATTATGCCCAATACACACAACCTGCATAATAAACAGCTGACCTACAGGAAGCTGCATTTAACACATCTCTAGTGTCACCTCCATTCTGCTACTTAAGTCACTTGGCAGGACTGTTACATGCTACATACCAAGTTGAATTTGCTGCTGTCAAAAGAAAAAAAATCCCAAGACAACCTAAAGGCTCTCCTATTCTGAAGTTTCTGAACAATATGCATAAAGTAGTCAAAGCAAGTTGGTATCTTCTGATTAAAGAACCAAACTTTTTATAGGAGCACTCAAGAAATAACCTTTAACTTTTATTTTTTTTCCTATTTAGTCAAATCATCCATGTGATACAAGCAGCAATTTATGTACCCCAGCAGATACACGTTAGTTTTTTTTTTTTTTTTACTGAAATTCTATATTTAATGGTATATTTGGAGTGGAGCAGTTTGTGAGAACAGCATATATTTCTTAAAGCGATAGGGATCATTTAACAATTTAAACTAATCTCTAAAAAATGACATTCTAATTTCTTAAGGTTAAGGAATGTGCTCTATGCAGTACAATCTTAAATGTATTTAAATTTTCTAATGGCTTAATATTCATAAGGCTGCCCATATATTTGATTTTCTATTTTCAAGCAGCTTATTGCTACTGGCACAATATGCAAAAATACATAGTAGTACACAAGTATATGATGATGACCAACTTACTTTGCTTCATCTTCTGGAATTCAGCGGCTCGACCCTTTGGAAGTTTTTCATGGTCCATTTCTATTTTCTGTTCTTTATGATTTTGCATACTTTGTTCAGCAATCAAGTGCCGAAGAGGATTTGGAGGCATCTTTTTCACTGCATCAGTCTCTCCGTCATTGTAAGCATCTAAAGCTAAAACAAAGAAATTTCTTCAGTTTCTTATGCAGTACAGAAGAAAAAGGCCACTCCAAAGCTGATTCCAAACAGATCATTCTGGACTTCCATGAAGGGCTAATGTTTTCAGATATATTTTTCCAGTATGTACCAAAACATGTGACCTTCCCAAGTGTACCAGTTCTAAGCAGTTCTTTTTTCCTATGGATTCTGCCTGCGATTTCAACCAAAACTTAATACAGGACACTTACAGGGTGCCTGTACACAAGTACAGAGGCTGGTCCGGCACGCTGTTATTACAGCGCGTTGGAGCAAACTTGATTAACTCAGTGTGCTAGAGCATGGTAATTACTGCGCACCAGCCACCCTTCACATCTCATGTATCAGCATCCCCATGCTTCCAAATGGTGGTGGAACAAGCTCGATGAATGAACCCTAGTTTAAGTGCCCCCGCCACCATTTTGAAGCGCAGGGACGCTGGTACACGAAATGCTGAAGAAGCACTTTAGAGTGACTGTCAGAGTCACTTTAATTAAAGCACCGCCCCACTCTCTGCTGCCGGAGCACACGTAAAAGTGCCCACAAGTTCTAGAGCAGTGGCTTAAACAGATAGCCACTGCAAATAAGCTGTAATAGTGTATAAGGCAGGCAGATAGAGAGGTACATGACTAGGGAATACAGAGAATCCTTTCAGCGGGGGAAATCCTGTTCTCTGAAATTGGACACCAAACTCCTATTACTTAAGGGACCCTCTTTCACTGAGAGGGTCTACTTGCTTTTCTTATGAAGGCAGGAAAAACACATTTTACTCAGCAAATCCAGAGCCGTGGTTTGTTTTTGAAAACCTAATGTAGGAAGAGATTGTTATTGAAAGATGTGATTTGGAAGTGTTAATATTTACATTTAGGCCTATGTAAACGCCGAGTAAAAAAAATCCACTTGTTTAATTTAATTTTAAGAGACTGCAGTGGCCCTATAAAGGATGCTTTCCTTTTGCTCACTGCTAGTCCTACTGGCACCCAAGATGTATATCCCAAAAAGGCACACCTTATAAACAGCTGTTTGGTCATGCTGCACATACACATTTAAGTTGTGTTTCACCACTCTAGCAAAACCAGCATTTGACTATCCAGCTGGAAGCACTGTCCAAGAAACAACCCAGCTTTCCACCAAAGAATAAAGACACCTCCATAACAACATATGCTGCAGCTTGCTTTTCCCCCAATATTGTCAGTAACAGAATTTACCCAATTGCAACCCCAAGCTAACTAATTTACAGCTTGGTGGGATTATAGTTGGTGCGCCTCTTATGAGATTTGATACTAGCTGGTGAACATACCTGGAGCCACGTTTGGTACATGGGGCGGTGCAGTGGGAAGATTGGGTTGATTTTGAAGCGATGAAATATGCGGCTTCTTTAAAGCTAAATGAAATAAATGGATTTGCATTAAAAATTCTGTTCAATGCAAGCACCAATATCTACTAGTCTTTAATTTACCAGTCTATTACTTAATTCCATTTTTTTAAAAATCCAGTGAGACTGGAAACATTAAAATATCTTAATTTCTGCTCTCACAAGCACCTTGCAAAATTTTTCCTTTACTATTTTTGATCAGGTTAACACAGTTTTAGTTCTACCACATGAATTTTAAGCTGTCTAGATCAAATTAGCTAACACCAACCAGTGGCACAAAGCTACATTTAAATGAGAATGCATAAAATAGAAAAAACTTGAATAATTATTAGAATGTGATTTTTTTTTTCTAACCAGTAGGTGTGTCTTCAACTTTAGCAGGGTCATTCTCTTCTATTTCAGGCATGCCTGCATCACCTCCTGGTTTGATTTTCTCTGTCAAAATAAACACACAAAGTGCTTCTTTACTGTCCTTTTACAGTTTAAAAGAGTAAATTTAACATTTGCAGGGTGTTAGGCTGGCACCACTTGAGCTAAGTTCTTTAGCTACAGAACAAGCAACGCTGGTAACAATCTCCCAACCTTTCCCACAGTAGCCTCCTGTCAGTGTGCCTCAACTGTTCTGGAGGGATCAAAACCACCTTGATTGGATTCAGGGACTGATCTGCCCTAAAAGGAGAGAGAAGGGCACCAACATGATGGTTTCTGCAATCAGGATATGTAACCACCTACCAAAGAGCAAAGGCAGACACCTCACTGTCCTACAATAAAAAAGAAAACTCATCATTTTGCTTAATCCAGAGGAATAACACTATTATTTTACGTTTACGCGAAGTGACACCAAAAGGAAGTACCTTTGTCATTTGCAAGGTGATTTGAGGGTTCCTCATTTTTTACTACATTTTTTACTTCTGTCTCTTGAACGTTCTTTGGCATGGCCTGATCATCTTCAGTCAAACCCAGTTCCGTGTCTTTACTGGCCTGGGTTTTCTGTGTACCCTGCTGTCAAAACAGATTAAACGGACATTAACAAACACAACCTTCAAAAGGGAAAAAAGTGATTTTCTTACTCTTCAGTTTGAGGCTTCTCAACTGCAGCAGCCAGTCAGCAGAGACAGACTGCTCTGGCCACATCTTTCCCCACTAAGAGCGTCACTATCATTAAGCGCTCCTGAAGGCCTTCTACCAAAGCATTGTCTCCCATTTACTGCAAGAGAGAAATTTCAGCAAGGTATCTGATATTATCAATTTGGAGAAAGGTAGCAGCCGTTTGTAGAAACAATGCATGTCCCCAGAATGGATATGCCAGAGTAGTTACAGTTTTACCTGGTACATATTAAATAAGCATGCAGCTGCTCAGCTGTGTACCTGCAATTTATTTTACAGATATTAAAGTCAGCACTAAAACAGGTTGCTAACCTGCAGCCTGGCTATAAGTATAATATTACATTTTTATTTAGAGGAAAAGAACATAAAATGGGTGGGGTTGTACAGAGCATTTACCAGACAGAAGAACAGCTCCAGCCACATCTGCATGCCATCCGATTCCTGGACCTACATCAGTCTGGCCTTCATTCTGGGTATAAGCACGGAGCCTGTGCTTGTGGCCTTGGGTCAGCGATCTTCACTTGGAGATCAACAGGGCAAATGGTGTCTTTTTGACCTTACTAAATCTTTCTGTGGCCTTTGATATAGTGGAGACTTTGAGGTCCTGGTAAAGCATTTCCCTGACCTAGTGCAGTTACAGGAGCACTCTAAATAAGTTCTCCTCTTTCCTATCAAGAAGGTTCCAGAAGGTGGTGATGGCTAAGTGCTTGTCGTCTCCTGGGGACCTTCCTGTGACATGGCTCAGGGCTCTACAGATTTCAGAGGTTTTAGGGTGGGAAGGGACCTCAGTAGATCATCGAGTCTGACCCCCTGCCCTGGGCAGGAAAGAGTGCTGGGGACAGATGACCCCAAGGAGGTGTTTGTCCAGTTATGCTGCCCCCGCAGTGTTTAGCCCTTGTGATGTGTGGTCTGCTTGGTGAGTGGCCTGGGGCCATGGCTGGCGTGGCCCCCAGACACTCTGAAGTCAGACAGCTCTGGTGTAGCAGAACAGGCTGAAAGAACTAAGTTTGCTTGGCCTAGAGAAGCCTGAGGGGGACGTGAGAATCATCCTCCAAAATGCAAAAGGGGACTGTAAAAAGGAAAGTCATGAACTCCCTTCCGTAACTATTGCAAATAGGAAAAAAATAATGGGCTTAAATTATAGCAAAGGAGATTCTTTTCACTGTGAAATTATGGTATTGCTCTTACCCCTTTCTGCAAATACTGACAAGAATGTAAGGCAAGAATCTGTATTTAAAATAACTGGTATTTTGAAGTACTTACTAGAGAATAAATGGCACTTCATTTAAAAGGCAGAGGAATTACTGTAGTGGCAGCTACTAACATCTATGCAACGTTGACAGAAATATGCATAATGCATAATTGTTTAGGCTGCTGCTGCTTATGTAAGTTTTTAAATAGCAAGGTAATGTTTATCTTGCTGCACCTGCCACAACACAGCCCAACATTATAATACTACACTAATCCATTTTTCTCTAAAAAAAAGAGTTTTTTTTAGTCCAGCACAGAACATGTAAAAACATAATTAATTACAAGTTTAACCATTTGGCAAGGCACAGCTAATGCCCCAGACTTCTAAATTAGTCCCAATTGACTGCAATTAATAGTGAAGGTATCTGGGCATTGAAACAAAAAATCCCTGTTTCAAAGATGAGATTATTTTTAACCATTTACCTTTTGTTCCCGTACAGCTTGCTCCACCAACCTCTTTATATTTTCTTCGTGTTGAATTCGCATTTCTTTGATCTGCTGTCCACACTGCAAACTAACGGGAAGCATATTTACAGTCACATATCGTTTGCATTATACCAGTTTTCCCATAACCACCTCAAGAAAAAAAAATGAACTGGCACAAACAGAAGCTGACACAACACCGGGACAAGAAATCTGGGCCTGGAGTGAGAAGCCTGAGGACTGGAGAAGGGAACTGGACTGAAGGTCTAAGCACATTTCTTTCCGGAAGTGGGAAAGGAACCCCAAATCCCAGAGTCTTGTCATTATTCTGCTGTAAGCAAATATCTATGAAACCTTCTGGCAAACTGTTTCACCCTCCCCTAGTGCCTGTTCATCACATACAGCTGTGTTTCTCAAACTTGGGTATGCAACACATTTCTAAAGGGTATGCATGGAAAGAATGGGAAAGCAGAAGGGAAAGCAAAATTATAAACAGAGAAAAAAGAAAGAAAAGAAAAAAATGAAGTTGTCTACAATATCTGTTAGGGTGCTGAAGAGTTTAGAGTGTGGTTGTAAGTGCTATACTTTAATTTTTTAATATCCATGATGCAAAATAATAAGAGTACAAAGCAGCATAATAATCTTTAAAAGGGGTATGTGCACCAAAAAAAGTATGGCAACCACTCGGAGAGAAAATGACTGCCAACCATCATCATGAGTCACTCTTAGTTTAAGCAGCAGAATCTGTGGGGCAGATCTAAACGATACAACGCTGATGATAAACTATGTGGTTGTTGACAAGATGGCTGGAAGATAGCTAACATGGTCCCCATCTTCAAAAAAGGGAAGAGAGAGGACCCGGGCAACTATAGGCCCATCAGTCTTACCTCTATCCTTTGGAAACTCTTTGAGAAGATCCTCAAGGAGCACATCT